CTCTTAGTCTCATTGATTTGGCTACCTTAGGGCTGCAGCGCGTGAGACAATATAAATGCAACCCTCCGGGCTGTGATCTGTAAATTTTGGAACCCCCAAACGACCCCGCATTCTCTTCTTTGGAGGACATGGCACTACCCCAAAAGCACACTACAGGAAAAGAAAGACCAAACGCAACCGGGGCCTCGTGTCCCTAGGCGCACGTATCTTGGACTTTCTTGGACTTTCCTTGGGCCTCGCTGCACTACTCTCCACTCCAAATGTGCAAAATGAGAATGAAGTTCCCGCTAGAACATAGAGAGATACACCGCCATATTTTTTGTCTTTTGGGCATGCCGAGAGTAGTGCAGCGAGGCCCCTTCATGCATCAGCCCAGAATCCGAACCTGAGATTCAGTCCAGGAAGCCCTACCCGTCTTCCACCGACCACAAAGCACGCTTCCATATCTGTATCTGATGGAGTGACGATGATCGGTGCGTTGTGTTGAGGGGAGGACGGGAGTATAGTTCAGTATGATTAATACGAGTAACTCCCGTAAGTAGGCCGTTGTCGGCGTGCGTCTGCCAGCTACCGGTAGCGTGCGGGCTGGCGCACAGGCGAGTGGCCGGCGGTCAAAGTAGAAAGTAGTCTCCTTTCCTTCTCGCGCGTCACCACGACCTTGCACGCTTGCAGATCGTGAACATGACAGGCGTGATGGCGGAACCCTACAGCAACTCTCCGGTTAAGGCTCACACTTCGACTCCAGGTCAGGTGATCGATCCCACGGGGAAGTTCACAGTGAAGCAGCAAGGCGCTTTCTCGGCCGTGGAGGTCATAGTGAGGCAAGAGGATGGTCAATCGAGCGTGAAGGCCGCAGGCGGGGCGATGGTAAGCATGCACAACAACGTGGATCTCCGCGTCGAGCTAGAAGGAGGAGTCGGGGCAGCTTGCTGCCGCTGTTGCTGCGCAGGTTCGTCCGGCTTCTTGACTCACTTCTTCATCAAGCCGGAAATGCCCCCGGGGACACGTGGCGACGTCCTGCTGGCACCTGGTGTCCCAGGCGAAATCATCCTGCTGCAATTAGCGGGCACAGGAGACGACTGGCTGATGGAAAAGGGGGCTTTTCTGGCCAGCGATCCGACGGTTGAGATCGGCGTTCACGCGCAAGGGGTGGTCACGGGGTGTTTTGGAGGGGAAGGGATCTTCATCCTGCGCGGATCCGGACAAGGCCGCCTGCTGGTCAGCTCTTACGGCAGCATCATCAGGTACGACCTAGGTCCAGGGGAGGTTCGCAAGATCGACAACGGAGCCTTGGTGGCCTGGCAAGCACACTTGCGCTACACCATCAGCAAGGCGTCGAGATCTCTGTTTGCCACCATCTTCAGTGGCGAGGGGTTTGTTACCCAATTCACAGGGCCAGGCACAGTCTACGCACAGACCCGCAGCCTTCAGGGCCTGGCAAATGCACTCGCGCCATACATAGTGCGACAGAACTCGGGAGGAGGGCCAGCGGTGAATGGACTCTGACGAGTCTGTGATCGCCTCCTAGCCCTCCTCGATTTCTGCATGTCATCCTTGAAAGCGCTGGGACTATGCTAACTTTTCTCGGTATCGTTCTACGGTAGTGTTCACGGGTGTCCTGAAGAGCTGCACATGATCTCGGTATCGTTCTAGTGGTTCCGAGGCCCTCTCTTCGTTTCCTAATTGGTCGACGTCGTTCGTTATCTTTAGGTGTCGATGATGAGAGGAAGACGGTGCCTGTAATTGCAATCGGACGCATCACGATCACCTAGGTAGTTGGGTATGAAAGCCCAATCTCGCGCAGACAACAAAAGACAAAAAGGAGGAGATTGGCTACTACAACCAACCCAACCCACGGTTTAATCCTATGGTCATGCAGTTGTGGAAGACTGGAAGTCGGGAAAAGAGAACTCGTCCGTCAGGCAGGAGAGAGGGAGGGAGGGAGGAGAAATTGGAAGGAGAGAGCATCTCAGAGAGAGAGAAAGACTTACTTGTGCCACTGCATCGGCTAGCGATTAATTCTCTGCTGCGAGTCAGATAGAGCAGCGCAGGGAAGTATGGAAGCTGTATATAACGACCCCACTGCCGCCTTGAAGAGTGATATCAGGTCAAGACGATAAATGATCGCGGCCCGCGGCCCCGTGTGTGATCTCTTACCATTTCAAATCTTGAGGGTAGACTACAACGTCCTGTCTTCTGGGAGGCTGGACTCAGCTTCCGCGACTAAGCAGCAGGTGCCCCTTCTGTGACTAATACATGGGGGAGCCATCTACAGTGGTGGCCGTCCATCAGGGAAGCCATCAACAGCGCCGCCGCTCATCAGCGGAGCCATGTACTGCGGTGCCTCTCATCAGCGGAGCCAGTTTTTGGGGTGGCCTGTCATCAAGAGGAGGCTGTGGCCGTCTACACAGAGGTGGGTCTCCATCAGAAGACCCATCTACAGGGGGTGGCCCCCTCCGTCAGGGGACACCTACAGTACAGGGGTGCCCCCCTCCATTAAGAGGAGGCTGGGGACTTGGGTCGCCCGGCTGATGGATAACCAGTATCAACCACCAATTGTGATGCTTAACGAAACAACAAAAAGAGAAACTGCGAGGAGGGGGGATGGAAATGGGAGGGGGGAAAAGACGTAAATGGGAGGAAAGCGAAGAGGAGGAGGAAGAGGAGGAAAAGACGAGAGGGAAACCAGACAGTCAACATTCCAAATATATTGTACCATTTATACATTTTGAGAGCTTAGTGAGATGGGTGATGGCGGGAGGGGAAGCTGAATTGCCGTCGACCTTCCGCCGCTACGCAGATTGGTTTGACTGCCAAAAGGCTATCGCTTCCTGTTTTGCTGCCCAAAAGCCTATCGCTTCCTGTGTTGCTGCCCAAAAGCCTATCGCTTCCTGTGATGCTGCCCAAAAGCCTATCGCTTCCTGTGTTGCTGGCACTTGCTGCCCTGTGGAGAGGAAGGAGTGGCCAATCCAACGCAATCTCCATGTCCATATCCATACACACATGCAAATTTACAATGACAAATTCTATCTTCCTGTGCTTTCCCCACCGCTCAATCCTTGAGTGTGACGAAGAGCATCTCATGGTCTGCGGGGCGCAAAAAAAACAAAAAGAAAAGAGCCAACTACGAGGCGAACGAGAGTGGAGTGAGTTCTGAATAAGCGGAAAATTTCCCAAAAAAAAAAAAAAAAAAAAAGAAAAGCGAAAAATATACGCGCCAAGCTGAAAAAGGCAACAAAGGCAGGGCGGCACTTTCTAAGCGCGCGGATGTCGTAACTACCCATCTTCCCCCGAACATAACGCACCCTCATTGTGCCTGTAACGGACCGGAAAGATAGCATCTATACATTCATTATCAGGGTGCGTTATGTTTGGGGGAAGACGGTAGTAACTACAGGGGCAGGCCGTGGTGTGCAGAGGGCCTGAGTTTAGTTATAAAAAAAAACAGCAAAGAAAGATAGCGCTATTTTTGCTATTTTTGCTATTTTTGCTATTTTTGCTATGTTTGCGTATTGCAAACCGCCGCCGGCACAGAACAACATTTACTTGTCATTCAGCGTTTTCTTTTTTGGCTTTCTCGAACTCAGACCATAACTCAGACGCATCTGTTTTAAAAAACAGGGGAAAAGGAAGGAAAGGAACAAAGAGAGACAAAGAAAGGTTGTCTTCAAAAAAAAAAATGCAAGGCAAGAGAGACCTGAAGACCAGTTCGAAGAAGAGAGAGAGCAAAAAAAAAAAAAAAAAAAATCAATGTAATTTGCTAACTCAGATTGCGATTATTGCCAACGAACGATGTTGAGAACCATAAAATGATAAACGAGGAACTTGAAGAAGATGACCCTCAGAAGCGTAGGAGGCACACTTGAACCTCTGCGGTTTCCCTGGACTCCAGGAGCAGCAGGCAGGCTGCCCGGCAACGAGACTCTATCTACAAAAAAGAAGAGAATAAAAGAGAATAAAAGAGAATAAAAGAGAATAAAAGAGAATAAATAAAAGAGAATAAATAAAAGAGAATAAAAGAGAATAAAAGAATAGAAGTTGTGTTCCAAGAAACCCAGAAGAGTGTTAAGTTAAGATTAGGATTGGGTGTCAAAGATGAGAGGGAATCTGATCAGTTTAATATCTGATCGGTGGTCCATCGGGTGCCATGATACTACGGTTTTTTTTTCGTTTTTTTCTTTTTGGCCCAATGGACCACGGCGGATCAGATATGAAACTGATGATCAGAACAGAAACTACACTTGATCCTTTTTTAGCCAAAAGGCCGAGAAAGGTATTGAATCCTATTGATAGATACTACGTTTTTGACAAGACAAAGAAGGAAAGAGGATAGTACGTCCTTCGGGACATCCGTTAAAATTGGAACAATGCAGCTAAGGAAGATAAGAATGGCCCCTGCGCAAGGATGACATGCAGAAAACGAGAAACCTGAAGACCCAATGGACGAAGCGAACTTCAACACGAGAAGTTTTACAGTACCGTCTTCCCCCCGAGTACAACGCACCCTCATCATTGCCGTAACGGACGGGAAGGATAGCTTGTGCATACATTCATGGTCGGTGCATACTCACAGCAGGACATTGTTACTTGTTTATGGATGTAATTGCGGTCAGATGCATCCACGTCCGGTCGGTCAGATAAATAAAGTTAGTGTGAGGTCGCCCTCAGTGTGCATCGGGTTCGTGGGCTCGGTCAAAGACCGTAGCCAAACCCGGACCATGGCAGTGTGTGTCCCCGAACGTCGACCTGCGCGTGCGGCGGAATGGAAATCCGTTCGAACGGCCCCTCAGCCATTCCAACGGACCGTTCTAACGGCAGGGCCTAAAAATGGGGGGCAGGGATGGTTAATGACCAGGGGGCTGCGGGTCCCCCTCCTACCCCTGCATGAAAGAGGATTTTTCTTTTTTTCTTCTGCGGTGGTGTTTAGAAGCAAAAAATCAATCAATCAATCAATCAATCAATCAAGTGATCGCTACAATCAATCAGTCAGTTCTCTCTCTCTCTCTCTCTCTCTCTCTCTCTCTCTCTCTCTCTCTCTCTCTCTCTCTCTCTCTCTCTCTCTCT